TAGCCGGCAATTTGACCGGAGTGACCAAAATTGCATAGTCAAAGTACTAAATTGACACTTTTGAAAGTCATGTGCTGAAATTAACAAAGCCCCTATAATCATATGACCAAAATTGAAATTTTCTCTAAAGAAAGTGTATGAAGTCAATGATTTGTGAGAGGACGTAGAAGCTAGAAGTAAGAAGTGGGAGTCCATGTAGTATTTTCCGTTTAGACGTTTGGATGGGATGAGGTAATTAGGATGGAAATGAATTGTAATTCCGTGAGAAAAGAATAAAGTGGAATAAAATAAGAATTTAAATTACATTGTTTGGGCAAAAGCTGAGCTAAAACGTGTTTTGGAGGACATAGCAATGCAAGCAACCTCACTTCCGGGTTCAGCCCAGCCAGGACGATACTCGGTTGTTTAAGATTTCCCTTTGGTGGACTTCTATTGGTTGCTGCTCCTTATTTACACATTTAGTTAGTTTACATTAAAGGGAGAGAAGAAAACACAATGTATGTGCTATGACCTGGATGCTGTGGATTTTCAAGTTAACCTGATGGCCTAATGATGCAAGGCAGGTTTTTTGGTCACTGGTAAGAGGGTGAGAAGGGTGTGAAGAAGATTCAGAGTTGTCTTAATATCCTTGTGGTAAGCAATTCTTTGATCAAACATTTACTCTATTAGATTGAATATAGCTTTCAAGAACCATAATGTTTACTTCAGCGGTGAGTTTAATCTTGTGAATGTTCTTCACTTTTACTTTGTAATTGGTTCACTATATTACTGATCTTTTGAATGCAGAAAGTGAGCTTGATTTTTGCTCACACCATGACTGAAATTCTCAGTACTGGTATAGAAGTCCACTAGTCTCCGTTTGATTTCTTGCTGTATCATTTACATAATTTTATTTCAGTCCTTTTAAGGCTTTAATCCCTATGTTCATATATTCCAGCAATGAAGACTGAGTAGAGAGGATATTAAGATCCTGATCCAGCCATCAAAAAAAAAATTATATTGTTTGGTATGTAAGAATATAATTATTAGGAATGAGAAGTGAAGAAGTGATATAAAATTAAAATATCATTGTGTAACAATAATAATAATAATAATAATAATAATAATAATAATAATAATAATAATAATAATAATAATAATAATAATAATAATAATAATAATAATAATAATAATAATAATAATAATAATAATAATAATCAAAGGGTAAATGTGTCAAATTTTTCTTTCTTTTTTTTTTTTCTTTCCCTTCCACTACTGAATTCCATAGAATATAATTGCAATTCCCTCCAACAAAAATGTTGTTAGATTTCTAAATTTCATTGCAAAAGAATTCAAATTCATGCCAACCAAACACCATGTAAATATGTAATGATTTTCGACTTGAAACACTAAATATAATTCTCAACTATGGTGCTATTTTCTAATTTAGTCATTAACTCAACTAATAATTTAACATAAATTTTATATTATCATTCGCGCGCGGAACTAGCTTTTCCATCGTGACAAGTTGTTGGTGCTGAGCAAGCTAAAAAAATCTAGAATGGGGGTTGAATAGACTTTTTCAATTTTTTCTATCGTAGCTCTAAGTGAGCTAGAACAAAGTTAAGGAAATAAATTTCCTTGCAGCGGAAGTCTCAAGCTTGCTTAAAATATGTGGTTGTACCATTTTGTAAATTGTGTGCTCGTGTCAAATGTGAATAATAGTTATGGGTTAGTTACAAGTAATCATAATAGCAGTAAAAGTAAAATGCAAAAGAGAATTTTTAAGTGGTTCGGCAAACCCAACCTACGTCCACTCTTCTCCTTCCACTCCAATGAGGAATTTCACTAAGTATTTTTTTCAATACAAAGTGCGGACAAAAGCACCCTACTTCTATTATATCTGACAATCCTTGAGATAGTGGTCAAACTACAATGATGCTCTATCCTTCACTGCTTGACAATTTTGAGATAGAAAACAGTCGCACTATCTTCCTATCCTTCACTGCCTGATTCGAGCTTGCCAATGATCTATCACCAAGTCCCTTACTGCTATCAACTTCCTTGAAAGATGGTGTTGTTGTTGAGTGCCAGAGTTTTAAAAATAATCAACGTGATTCTTTTTCTTTTGAGCTTAGAATACGCACATTGAATATTCTACTCTATTTTCTCTTGTTGTGTATTCACCTCTCTCTTCTCTGTTTGTGTGTGTGTGTGTGTGTGTGTGCTCTTGTTGTTTCGTGCAATGCTCTTGTAAGACTTGTATCTTCCTTCAAATCTTCATCTCCTGTTATAGTTGTAGTTTTGAAATTGTCCATTGGAAATAAATAATTTCAAATTCAAATTTGAACTTGATCTGATTGCAATAGTGATTAGATATGTTGAATTTTTAATACTGCAACTTTCTCATATGTCAAGATAATCTTTTTGACTTTGTAAGATTTTTCCTGATCTTGCAAGTAATCTCCGGAGTTTGTTTGAGATTTAATTTAATGTTGGTGATAGACCTTGGCTGCTTCAAAAAATCATCTTGAATTTCTTGGCTATTCAATTTTGTCTTCTTCAAATTGAAACTCCTAATCTACAACCTCAGCTCATTTACTCAAACCGTGGTTTATTGGATTCAATTTGTAATCTCATGGATTCGAACTTCACATCAAATAATTCTTAATTTAAATTTGAGACCGTAGCTCAACTAAATCCTTGGCTCAATTTGATTTAATTTGTCTTTCATGAGATTTGAACTCCTCGTTAAAAATTGTAGCTCACTCTTAAAAACCTTAGCTCATCCTCTTTCTTGCAGCAACAGTGGCTCAGCCTTTTTATTTAATTCCTTTGCTCGTCCCTAATTTTCTTCATGGTTACCTTGGCTTGCGTATTTCTCCTCAATTAAAATTCTTGGACTACTGATTTTCTTTGGCTCTAGTACAAAACAAAAATTACACAAAATATAAAACAAATAGAGGTCTAAAATTTTCAACCTAAATTACATTTTTGACTCATCCAAATCTAATTATAATTTATTCCTAACACGTATAATTGTACAAAGTGACGAAACTAACAATCAAAAAGTTATTCCGATCCAGTTGACTTCGTCCGGTTTGGTAAATATTCTCAAGGATGGCATCACTCACTGGTCCATTAGTGGATCTTTCAACATGTATTATTGTAACTATGAAAATGTTTGGCAATTAGCTATAGCTGATTATGTTAGTCGCTAACTGGTTGTGTTTGATGTTTTTATCACCTAGTAATATTAGTGATTAATAAAGAGGTATTTGATAAATTAGTTATTTACAATTAATTAATTACATGTAAAATGACTTATTAGGACCGCTCTAACAACAGTCAGTAAATTAAAAGTGTATCAAATCTACTTACAATTGTCCATTTGGTAAAAATGGAACCTATGCTCTTATTCGTAGCCTTAGACCATCCACAAGTGTGATTTTTCGACCTTTTTTTTCAGAACAGAAATTCAAATGGTGGTTTTTTATTGATGTGAAGATGAATTTTTACAAGGTCTTTTTTTTTTTTTTTTCCTGCAAATGTTGCATTTTTGTAGGTCCTTCCATTTAAGAGAAAAGAGGAAAGCAGCTGAATTGTTGCACGTAGAGTGCAGCCAGTAGACGCGTGCATAGCATTCACCTACTGGGTGCGTTTTTGTTTCACTGTGAATTTTTTTTGTTTTTTTTGTTTTTTTACTTTTCATATTTAGGTGTCAGATTTATATGTTTTTTCTTCTTCTTTTTTTTTTCTCCTTTTTTCTTGCACTCTTTCTCTTTCCTAGGTGTAACTTTAATGCAAGTGCTAGCAGTGATGTGGAACCTTAGCCTAGCTCAAAATAGCAGCCGATAAAGGCGCGTCAAGTCCATTAATGGCTAGCTATATGTCAAAAATGGCTAGGTCGTTGGGCTCCTCTATTTTTGTATGGCTTCTTTCGCATGTGTTTGTTATTACTGTTGATTTTTTAGGCCTACATGAAAAGGGTTTTTGCTTAGCTGCGTGGTATTAATTAATAAGTTTGGCTCTAGTAACAATATAATACATTTGATGCATTTTAAAGTGTTGTGTAATTTTTTAGCCCACGAAGCATCTTAGCCCTATTACACCACACCTAATGCATGTAGTGTTGGAAAAAAATTAGGATAAAATGACATTTTAAGTGATTATTTTGTGGTACAAATATTTGTAATATTCATTTTTCATTTGAACCGCGTAAAAATGGATTCGGGTTCTTCATAATGAGATGAAGAAATCGATATATTGTACGCTCAAAACGGATAATGAGTTAATGTGAAATTGATTTTCAAAAGACCCATTTGAGTTTGAAAATAAAGGCGGAAAAGCTTTGAATAAGTTTTTTGTCCCATATTGGAAAGGGAAGAGGGTTTGCACTAGTATATATATAACTAATACAAGACCTATTTAGAGGAAGATTGAATTGTATACTTTAGAGGTTCTCTCTTACATGTAAGGGAAGGTTGAATCTGCAACCCTAGCCCCCCAGCCCGACAGAGCATCCCTAGTCATTCCTTCACCAACTGATCTTACAGAGCATCCCTAGTCATTCCTTCCCCAACTTCACCCCTATAACCCCCCAACCCCATCCCTAGTCATTCCTTCCCCATCACCCCTATAACCCCCCCAACCAACTGCCCTATAACCCCCCAACCCCATCCCTAGTCATTCCTTCCCCATCACCCCTATAACCCCCCCAACCAACTGATCTTACCACTAATCTTACATAGCATCCCCAACTACACCCCTATAACCCCCCAACCAACTGATCTTACCACTAATCTTACAGAGCATCCCCAACTTCACCCCACCAACCAACTGATCTTACAGAGCTTGTGGGCAAACATATTCCTTTCGTCTCTTGTGCTTGTATTTTTCAGAAATTAATATTTTTGTAGTATTATTGGATAGAAATTAAATGGCATTTGTTATAATTGTCTTCAAGTAGTAAAATGACTCATTAGGTATGCTATTCGGACAATATTTGCTCTAAATTTGAGGGGGGGAAAACACATCTTTCAATTCATTATTGCCAAAATATTGGGTAACATTTCACTATAAACCCTTGTTCAAACAATTTGAGGGGGAATTGTATATTATGGTAAAACCTATATATATTTGTACCAAGACAGGGCTGTATTCCTCCTCATCAAGATTGTATGTATATATGTGTGTTGTATTATTTTACTTTGATCCATGAGCATGGACCTTTGTAGCTTGCTCAACCAGCTGCCTCTTTTGTGTTGTATTAATGAGGGCAGAAGCTAGAGTAGAGGCCACATTAATGATGATCAAAATTGCAGAGGCACTAAAAACTCCATTCTTCACCATATAGCACTCTCCATCTAACCACCCTTCACCCAAGGGCTGACTTTTGTTCATGCTTGTGCCTGTACCCATTAAAATAGCTGCAACTCCAAAGCTCACCCTATTATATATTCATCAACACAACAAGTTAATTTGGATACACTTTTACAATGGTGTCATAAAAATCAAATTTAAGACAATAAAATTTGTGTTACATTTAATTATTATGTATTCTTTTTTTCTTTTTTACGCATACTCGAAATCAAGTCAACCCATTCATGACAACTAACCAATATTAGAAAATAATTTCTTTCTTAACTCATAAACGTAACTAGTGTTGTAAAATCGGCCAAGGCGCCGATTAGGCACTAGGCACCCCTAGACCGAGGTAATTTCAGCCCTAGGCGACTTTTAGTCCATCACACCGACTAGGTAACGCACCATAAATGCCAACTCAGCCGAGTTGAGCGCCTCACTCGGCCGAATCGGGCGCCTAACTCGGCTGAGTTGCCGTTCGGCTACTCCTTTTCTATATTTCTCCAGTTATGTACTCAACTAACATCTAACATATTCAGTTAACTAGTTTAAGGATTATAACAGTCTAATAACTTCTAGCTTTAAGTGAGAAAAATGAAAACGATATACTCGGATTACTTGAGTGCTTGCCAAGCGCTAGAGGTTTCTGCAACATTAAATGTAACATGGCAAATGTTATATTTAAAAGTGACTATTAAATATTACTCTGTAGTTGTTATTAAAAAGAGAAAATGCATAATTGCATTAGACATTAAATATTACTCTGTTACGGCTCGTTTGGTTCGCTGGAAAATATTTGAAGGGAAATGGAATTGAAATTTCATAGAAAATAAATTCCAAGAAAATAGATTTCATTGTTTGGTTGGTGGAAAAGAAATTACTGGGAATATGAACTCCATTGTTTGGTTGAGTTTGGAATGGTAAGGAATAATGTGTATAATGACAAATATAACCCTACACAACAATAATAATATAATAATAATAAGAGTAATTAATAAAGAATGGTGAGAGTAAAATTGTCATATTAGTTTTCCATGGAAAACCTTTTCCATGGAAAACAAAATACCTAACAAAAGCTAGGAATTTGTTTTCCTCATTCTCAAGGAAAACTTTTTCCAATGGAAAATATTTTTCATCCAACCAAACAACATAAAACATCATTTTCCTTCACTTTTAGGAAAACAGTTTTCCATCCAACCAAACACCCCCTAAATGATTTGACACTTGTCATTAATAAATTAAAGTAAATTATTAATTAAGTGTCCAAAACTTTCATGAATTATTATGCTTACCTAGTAATAAAAAATTGTAAATCATATACGGAGAGAGACACACAAACACACAACAGCTGTCCACGTGCCTATGTTAGATTTAATTCAACTTTGTCATTAAAAAGGTTTAAATTATAGAGAAGAATAAGTTTAATAAAAATTAAGAAAGCTCCTAAAAATATTGGAAAATAAATTGTAGGACAAAGTGACAAATACGACTGAGCTATCATAATAATTAAGTTGTACAAATTCACTTCTACCCACTTTTAAACCATTGGTTTATTTAGGAGCCAATACATGCACTCCCTTTGAAATGGTCAACTACTATTTTTATAGAAAAAGGGTTTCGTTTTTTAATAATGCATTTTGTAACCCAATTTTTTTTTTACTTTACTCTAATTAAATTTGTTGTGTTTATTAATTTTTTTAAAAAATATTGTTTTAAAGAAAGGAAAATGAAATATATGTATATATGTTTTTTCCATTATTTTCGGTGACGAGGGCAAACCCGCAAGTTAAGAGAGGTAAATTGTATTAAGAAAATTGTGTGACACGGATTCGACTAAAAAAAATGATGGTAAAGATCAAACGTGTGACATTCAAGTGCGATAATCATGCTCTACCCACTTGATGAATAAGGTCATTCCCATGTTTTTTTTCCTCTAAATGTGCACATCAAACTCATTGGGTGAAAAATGTTATACTCTTTATGTGATTTTAGAGTGTGTTTAGAAAATCATTTTTTGGGGTTTCTGTGTTTGGATGTGCATGGAAAATCAAGTCAATGATCATTTTCCGTTGACTTTGAAAAATACGGTTGTTTTGGAGGAAAATGACTTCCGCCAAAATTTGGCGGAAGTCATTTTCCACAGACCAAAAAATAATTTCCGACCACAATCGTTTCCGACTACAATCACAACCATGATTTCCAGCAAAAACTAGTATTTACTGATTTCCGTCAAAAACCATAGTTTTTTTTTTATTTTTTTTAATAAATAACATTATTTCTAATATTATTATAAATATTTTTATATTCTAAATAAAACAATTAAAATGTTTAATTATATAATTTTACTCATTTTTCAGAAAATGAACCAAACACACTAAGATTCTAAGAAAGTTTTCCAGAATGCAATCAAACACTGAAAATAAAAATATTTTCTGAAAATTGACTCATTTAATTTTCCTAGTTTCCAAACATACCTTAGAGTAAAACCTAAACCTAAAGTGAATCAATTTATTGATAAATAATAAAAAATGAAAAATCATAATGTATACCTTAGATATGTCATACAGAATAAGTTTAAGATTTTGAATGTTTTTAAAAAAAAAAAAAAATTGCCATAAAAAATGTCTGACAATCTGTATGTCTAAAGTTTCGATAAGTGATAAAAAAAACTTGATAAGAAAAAGGTCAAATTCCTAAAACTTGTATTAATTGACTTCAACATAATGGAGTAGAGTAGCACATGTCAATTATATCTTGTGGGCTTCGTAATTTACTTCAATGCCACTAAACAATTCATTCAAATATTATCATTTATCATTCTTAATTTTAATTATATTTCACTTTCAATTTTCAGTTTTGTAAATAAAATATTTCACTTTTAATCTAAAATATTCAAAATATCTTCATCAAAATTTTATTAAAGTTCACTTCATCCATATAAGGACATATTAGATGTTTTACATTAAAAGTGAAATAGAATTTAAGTGAAAAAGTTACAATTTTCATCCTAAGGACAAAACTAAAGATGAAAAGAATTGATTCATAAATAATAGAGAAATAAAAATAGGTGATTGTTATATTTAGGATGAAAGTGTTATTTTTCCTAAGGCTGTCCTCAACCCACAATATGGGGGGCTTATAAGATAATGTAGAAATTACACAAAGCATTGTTTAATTTGTTTGTACTTTCATGTGGCTATTAAATTTGCTAAGGCAGCTTTTACTGTTAAAAGGACAACAAAAGTTGCTACACCATAATTTTTTAAAAATATTTATTTTATTACTCTATATTATTTTATTATTATATTTATAATTTATAATACAATAATATAATATGAAAGTAAGACTATTTTGAAAGTGAAAGAAAATTTAAGGATGTAAAAAATAGTGGAAAAATTACAAAATTAATAAGGTGAAAGAAGGGTGGATTCTTAAAAGTGAGAGATTTACGGGAATAAGATAGTCTAATTTCAAAAAAAACACAAAAATTATCATTTTTCTATTTTTTAATGTGAAACCATCACAATCAAAAATATAAATGACAACCACAAAACTCTATAGTTGATAAATACTAAATTATATAATAATTAAAGTATTGCAATCTAGAAACACATACTAGGAAAGGAAGGGAGCAGGTGACCTACCATGACAGCACCACGGAGAAGATTACGAGCTTTGACTTGCGCCGCTTGCCCAACACGAACGTCCGGCCGATGACCAGCAAGTTTCCGGCGACCTGAGCGCCGCTAAAACTGACCAAAGCCGCAATTCCCAATCCGAAAGCCTCGCTCCGTGGCAAGTAACAGAACTCGCCGTCTAGCCGGAGATCCTCCTTCTGCAAAATTTTCAACGCCGGAAAATCAAGAACCGGCCAATCTCGCCGGAATACAAAATCTCGCCTCCCCAGATTAAAAACTACCTGTGACTTCTTGAATTCAGCGGCGATGCAGAGGGCGAAGGAGACGACGCCAAGGGCGACGATTACGGCCACAATCAGAGGGAATATGTAGCGGTGCTGTTTTTCCATACCATTAATTAATTTACATATATATACATATATATAAAGATTTGGGTGAAGGGTTTCAGAAAGACATGAAGAAGAAGAAAGCAGAGGTTAGCGGTGGATCTGGCTATGGAGAACGGCGGCTTCAATTCTGTGGTTTCTTGTGGTGGGAGGTTTGGATTGGGAAGCTTTTTCTGCAAAGAAATCTCTCATTGCTTGGAAAAGGAGAAGAATTATTCTTAAGAAGGGTGTTAGAAAATTGAAGCTTCTTGTCTTTAGGATTCATGTATTTGTCAGTTGAGATCAATGGTCAACTCTTTCACTGCTTCATTTTAGTTGGTAGATTCAAACAAGTGGGTTTAAAAAAAAAATAAAAAAAATTACTCGCACAAAGAATAAAGATTTGGGTTTGCGGTTAGGAATAAAGTTTTGATTTGGAAAAGGACAAAACATAGGGAGGTTAATGGATTATTACTTTATTAGTTAGTTCTCTTTTAAACTACTCGGATTTGACGGGAGGATTACACACTCAAATTTGATTTGGTTAGTTCAAGTATCAAAAGCTTGAGTTGGATTCTATTATCATAATTAATGTTATAAATTAGTATATGAGTTGTTATTTTGAGACATTATTTTTTAGGTGCGTCTATTAATGAATTAATGTGAGAGTAGATTCCAATTATTTTAGAGCATTCCCAATAATTGTAGATTTTGAAAAGTTTATTTTCGATAAATTATTGTGTATGAAACAATATACATATTTAATATATTAAAAGTATATTATTTGTGTACAGAATGTACATTATTTGTTAATATACAAAAAAAAAAATCATGTACTTTCAAATAATATACTTTTAGTATATTAAAAATGTATTTTTTATTTATGGTTCACACAAATGGGTGGACCATGGAATAATGATTAAGTTTTTTTTGCTGGTGTGACTAGGTAAGAGAAGATGAGAGGGGAGAGAAAAAAAAAAGCAAAGCAAATATGAAAAACAAAAAATAAATAAATAAAGAAAAGCTTCATTAACGCGCCCGCAAGTGCATGTGTCCGGCTGGGCGCTGTGGTTCACTTCACGCGAACTATGCGAGACTTTTGTTTTTCTTTAGTGGGTCCCACAATTATGATAAAAATCAATGCATTGCAGGGAGATCTATTTTATTCTCTCTCCTCTCCCTCTTTCCTCCACATAAACTTTGCTTCCTCAAAAATCACACCGAAAATCACAATTGGGGATGCCCTAAAGACATCCTCAATAGTGGTAGGTTTTTGAAGAGTTTTTGCAGGTGTGATCAGAAAAGAGAAAATGAGAAGGGTGGAAAAAAGAAAAAAAAAAGACAAAATCAAAAACTAAAAAAAAAATAAAAAATAATGCTTAATGCGCCCGCTGGGCGTACTGTTTCTGCGCAACGCACAGAAGTTGCACAGATCAAAATGCTGATGGAGCCCACATTTTCGACAAAAAACTTTACTACAAGGATCTCACTTTTTCTCTCACCTCACCCCTCTCTTCCACCTCACTCAACATACCTCAAAAACTAGTCCTTCTCCTAATGGGGATGCTCTTACATACCCAAAAGGATTAATGAGTAATTAAGAATTTAATAATTGTATTGTTATCTTGAAGTTGAGAAAAATGATTAATGAGTAAATAAAAATTGGAATAAAGGTCAAATAGGCCATTAAATTGCACACCAAACTACAATTAAATCATCGAACTCAAAAAAGATGTAATTAGGTCCCCTGAACTACACCAATTCATGCAATTAGGTCTAAAATGACCTGTTTACCTGTCATGTAGGTTGTGGATTTTAAAAATAATTTTAAACAAAAAACTAATTAAAAAAAAGAAAAAAGAAAAAAAAAAAAAAAGAACGGCCAGAGACGAAATCGTCTCCGGCCATCCTTCGTCTCCTGCCATGGAGACGAAGACCTTCATTTCCATGGCCGGGAGACGAAGGACCGCCGAAGATGATTTTGTCTCTGGCAGTTTTTTATTTTTTTATTTTTTTTTATTTTTAATTAATTTTTTGTTTAAAATTATTTTTAAAATCCACAATCTCCACGTCAGCAAAGTATCAGGTAAACAGGTTATTTTAGACCTAATTGCATGGAGAATTATCAATTTGGTCCCTCGACTATGAGGATTTCGCCATTTTGGTCATCAACTATCAAAATTTCTCAATTTGATCCCAAACTATGGCATTTTTACCTGATTTGGTCCTAAAGTCAAACCAGCTTGTTTAAGGCAATAAACTTGAGGACATTTTTGTAATTGCACATTGTTTCCTTTCTCGACTGTCTAAGTTAATTCCGCGCTTTGCCTTACTTCAGACAAACAAAACCTTCTAATTGTTGAATTTCCAAATAAGAAACCCTAATTGCACAACTCCAGTCAAAAATTTGAGCAATGAGTTGAGAAATCATCTGTCTTTCAAGCAACAACTATAATCCTACATCAGTGGGCGAGCAGAGCACCGACGTGTGCGGATCTACGGTGACTTCTAGTTTCAGCTAGCTCCTTTCCGGCGACCTCTCACCCTTACTCCTCACTCGTCGACGATGCAGACTGTAGATCGGGCGAAGTGTTGACCAGTGGCAGCTCCAAGGCACGACGATGGACCTCTATCTCTCTCTCCCTCGCCTATCCCTCTCATCTCAAAAGCAACTCTAGCGATGTCCTTTTTCGGCGAAGCAGAACAGGTCAGTGACGAGCAACGATCTCCCTCTCTCGCTTCCTGTTGCGGCGGCAGTCTTGGAGGAGTTCCGGCAGTAGCAGCTCCCACATTCTACCTTCATTCCCTCTCTCGGCTAACCTAGCAGTAGCAGTTGGAGGTAGCGTTGACTGGCGTGTAGCGACGACGAAACGTTCCGGTGGCATCCCCGAAGTTGTGGATGGTGGTGGTGTCCGACGGTGTAGTTGAGAGGTGATCGACTATGGTGTTGAGTTGATGTTGAGAATGAAGGGTGAAGTCTAGTGAAGAAATGACATTTTGGCGTTGATGATGATGATGTTGGCTGGAAATTGGAGATGATAATAATAATTTGGATTGAAGATGATGAGGTAATAATAATTCTTTTTAATAATCCCCAAATTGCCCGTTAGTTTGACCGATAAATAACACTTAGGACCAAATCGGGTAAGAATGCCATAGTCGGTGACCAAATTGAGGAATTTTGATAGTCGATGACCAAATTAGTGAGATCCTCATAGTCGAGGGACCAAATCGGTAATTAACTCTAATGGCATGAATTTGTGTAATTCAGGGACCCAATTGCACTTTTTTGAGTTTGATGGCCTAATTGCAACTTGGTGTGCAGTTCAGTGGCCTATTTGACCCTTATTCCATAAAAATTTAATAATTAAAATGTAATCGTGAAATTGAGAAAAAGAAGTTCGAATGGATTTTGAGAGTTTTGAATTTTGATCTCACATTGTTTGAAAATGTAAATCTGGATTAGTATATAGTTATATATACACTACACCAAAAAGGTCATTTAGCAGCGGTTATTTTATTATTTCGTGGCGGTTTGTAACCGCCACTAAATTATTTACAAGCGGTTCTCCAATTGTAACTAAATAGTATGTCATGAAGGATTTAACGGCAATTTTTAACAACCGCGGAAATTGTTGACCAGCATTGCTTTTAGCGGCGGTTACAAAACCGCCGCTAAAAATAAAGTACTTTACTTTTGCTTTTAGCGGCGGTTTATAACCGTCGCTAAAAAATGAGGTACTTTACTTTTACTTTTAGTGACGGTTTTGTAACCGCCGCTAAATATATCTATTTATTTATTCCTTTAAATCTTAGTGGCGGTTATTAAATGTCGCTAGATATTTTGGTTCCTGAAACGGTTTAATTGACGAAATTTTAAACAATTCAATGATCAAATTCATTAAAATTGAAAACTAAGGACAACATTGATAGTTGAAAAACAATTGAGGGACCAAAATGTTGATTTTCCCATAAAAAATGTTATTACCAATTACACCCCATGTAAGAATGGATACAATCATTCATGTAAAGAAACATATCAATTCACAACAATTATACTTTTAATTCATAATCTTTATCGCTATCACACAATTCCATTCTTATAATGGTCTAATAACGCATCTCAGTAGTTGGAAAAATAAAGTAAACAACGTTTAAAAAAAAATATTATTATAATTCTTTCCACTAAATGTACTTCATTATCATCATGAGTGCTAATTAATCTTGGCTATAGTTTGATTATATTACTGATACGACGTTGATTGTCGATGTTATGTTTTGATACAAACCGTGGAAATTGCTTGCATGAACCGCTCTTTGTATTGGCTGCTGGTTTCAACTTCTATGGCTGCCGATGCACGCTGGATAGTGTATGATTGTGATGTTTAGTATGCCAAAGTTGATCGCAGACTATTTGAGACTAAACAAACAAATATATATATCTGCCTCATACTAATTATCTTCACGAATATATTAGAGAAAAGGGAAAATAGCACTTTTTTTTTTTCCATGAGTTGTATATTCATAGTATTTTTTCCTCTAAGTGACAGTTTTTCCTCCCTAATATCTTAAATGGACATATTTACTCTTAAAATAAATATTTTATTTTTTTTTTTCTCCAACAAATTATGACAGCGATTTGGTTCAAACCGAACAAACACTATACCAACCAAACCGAAAGGTTTCGATTACAATTTAGAACTGGAACCCGATATTTAGAGATTATTAAAATCGCGAAACGGAACAGCTGGTTCATGTTCTGAACTGAAAAAATAAAATACATTAATTGTTAAATTTATACTATTTTAAAAATAAAAAATAAAATTTTAAAAGAAAGTTTGAACCAAGTTCAAACTGGATCCGGAACCGTGAACTGGCGGTTCAAAATCAAAACCAAATCGCGATCATATATACTTATATGTAAGAATCATAATAAATGTGAAAACGAACTTACACTATTTGTAGATATTGTAATTCTAATTTTAAGTTAATGTTATCTAGTAGTTGTTCCGATTTGAACCGGCGGTTCACGGTTCAGGATCTAATTATTTTGATTCATGATTTTAATAAATTGAAACCCAAATAATGAGTTCTGGTAAAATTTTTGTTGTTGAAGTCGGTGTTGTTGTAAGTCTCGCGCATAGACAACGGTTTTTAACCGTTGTCTTTTCTAGAAACAACAACGGTTTTTGAACCGTTGTCTATTAAATGTTATTGAAACCGGTGTTGTTAAAAGTCACGCACATAGACAACAGTTTTTAACCGTTGTCTTTTCTAGAAACGACAACGGTTTATTGAGTGTTGTTGAAACCGGTGTTGTTAAAAGTCGCCCACATAGACAACAGTTTTTAACCGTTGTCTTTTCTAGAAAAGACAATGATTTTTGAACCGTTGTCTATTAAGTGTTGTTGAAACTGGTGTTGTTAAAAGTCACGCACATAGACAACGGTTTTTAACCATTGTCTTTTC